TACTTGGTAGGAATCGGTGTTCTTTTGCGAGGATTTGTGGTTTATCAAATCTAATGTGATGGTGGGGACGATCTTGAACAGACTCGCAGACTGCAGACTTCCCGGCGCGTCGGTGCTTTACGTCAGCTATATCTTCCTTCACGCGGGTTTTTAAAGATCATTTTGTTTGACCTATGTAAGAGAGATCACATTCATAATCTAGCTTGTACACACCTGCATCTTGTAGAGGAATATTACATTTGATGGATGGTAAAAATTGGCTAATCTTCTTCAGCGGCTTGTAGTATGTTTTAATGGACGCTCGCTTCAAGGTGTAGCCAATCTTGTCCGTCTTGCAGAGGAATATTACACTCGATGTATATGTATACATAATATGTTTTAATGGAATCTCGCTTCAAGATGTAGCCGATATTGTCTGTGACCCTCTGATGTACGGTAGTACAGCAGGCGCGCGCTTGACTGTGGCCGGCTTCACTCGTTCACTGTGACATAGGCGCGGGACCCGAAGCTTGTTGTATTGCAATACTTGCTTGACGTGCTGAAGCTCGGCGGCCAGATGTTTTCTGTCACAGATCTCTCGTGCTCTCTGAAACAAAGATTTACCCACGGTAGCTAACTGTGAAGGATGATGGTGAGATTCACCATTTAGATATCGATTGGTATGGGTCTTTTCCTTTCCAGCTTCCAGGTGAAGACTTAGTATCCCAGCACCGAATTCTGCTGGCTGACATCTGCTTAACTGTTCGCCTCAACAAACATAAGGATCGTCCCCCACCCAAAATAAAGTGGCATTTGTTGCATAAGGAGGAGTATGCAAGTGAATTTAGAGAGCTAGTTGTAAACAAGATGATAGAGATGGGTGATATGGAAGGAATGAGTGTGAATGAGTGCTGGAAGGAAATGGCTGATTGTATCCGAAGTGTGGCAAGGAAGGTGTTAGGAGAAACAAAAGGGAAGCGTATGATAGATAAGGATGGGTGGTGGTGGAGTGAAAGTATTAGAGAAGTTTTGAGAGAAAAGAAAAATGCCTTTAAATAATGGCAGAGCGTAGAAGACCAGAATGATTCCATAAAAGAAAGTATGAGAGGGGCGTATAAAGAATGTAAGAAGAGAGCAAAGAAGGAAGTTGCTATTTGTAGGGCAGAGGCGCAAGATAAATTATATCGGTCTCTTGAAAGCCCCGAAGGTCAAAAACGACTTTTTCAAATTGCAAAAGCGAGAGAAAGGAATGGAAGAGATGTTTCACATGTAAAATGTATAAAAGATGATTCTGGAAGGATTTTGACTGACGATGAAAGTATAAAGAAGCGATGGAAGGAGTATTTTGAGAAATTGATGAATGAGGAGAATGAATGGAATGGTATGCTTGAAAACCCACCAGTGAATATGGGCTTAGTGATAGAAATTAGTGTGGAAGAAGTAAAAATGGCTGTTAGGAATATGAAGAATGGGAAGGCGGTCGGCCCAGATGGAATACCAGTAGAAGTGTGGAAGTTGCTGAGTGCGGATGGATGGAAGTGGTTGAGTTTATTTTTCGGTAAATTGTTGCAGGAAGAACAAATACCTGAGGAATGGTGCAGTAGTATACTGGTCCCCATTTTTAAAAACAAAGGAGACGTTCAAAACTGCAGCAGTTACCGGGGAATAAAACTCATGTCACATACGATGAAAGTCTGGGAAAGAATAATAGAGAAAAGAATGAGAGAAGAGTGTGAGATAACACAAAACCAGTTCGGATTCATGCCCGGTCGAGGTACGACAGATGCCATTTTCGCATTACGCCAATTGTGCGAAAAGTACAAGCGCGTGCATAAAAATCTGCACATGGTTTTTGTCGACCTTGAAAAGGCGTACGATCGGGTTCCCCGTGAGGTTTTGTGGTGGGCGTTAAAGATGAAAGGTATGCCTGGGAAGTATGTGAGGTTAGTCCGTGCTATGTACAGAGCATCCCGTACATGTGTACGATCTGCCGCGGGAACTACGGGCAGTATCGGTGTGGCGGTAGGGCTGCACCAAGGGTCGGCATTGAGCCCTTACCTCTTCCTACTGATTATGGACGCTTTGACGTCGGACCTGCAGGATGAGGCACCCTGGTGCATGCTCTTTGCCGATGACATCGTGCTTGTCGGGGAAGAAGGCATCGAGGTACAGAGCAGACTGACGGGGTGGCAACAGAGGCTTGAAAGTGTTGGCTTGAAGATCAGCAGATCCAAAACCGAATATCTGTGCTGTGATTTCGGCGGTCTTTCCAGTCCTGTACCCATGTCGTTGGATGGCGCTATACTGCCTACCTGCTCAGAATTCAAGTACCTCGGTTCCCTCATTCAAGGCGACGGCGGAATAGATAGAGCTGTGCAGCATAGGATTAACGCAGGGTGGATGAAATGGCGACAGGTCACAGCCACAACGTGCGATCCCCGAATGCCAATAAGGCTGAAGGGGAAAATTTACAAATCGATCATCCGACCTGTCGTCATGTATGGAAGTGAATGCTGGGCCGTCAAGAAGAAGGATGAAAATAGACTGCATGCGAATGAAATGAGAATGTTACGATGGATGTGTGGTGTGACAAGGATGGATAAGATAAGGAATGAGTATATAAGAGGAAGCCTGAAAGTAGCGCCAGTGGTAGAAAAGGTGAGAGGAAGCAGATTGGCATGGTTTGGGCATGTGATGCGGAGGGATGAAAGTCATGTCACAAAACGAGTGTTGAATATGAATGTGGAGGGACACACGGGCAGAGGAAGGCCGAATAAAAGATGGATCGATTGTGTGAAGAGTGATATGAGAATGAAAGGAGTAAGTATGGAAATGACGGCTGATAGAGAGGAATGGAACAAGAAGATTTACTGCGCCGACCCCAGATAATGGGAAATGGTTTAGAGAATGATGATGGTATGGGTCTTTTTCCTATACACAGTGTGACCAATAGTGTTATCAGGATTTCGGATGACTAAAACATCTAGGAAGGCTAAAGAATTATTTGCCTCTAACTCTATTGTGAATTGTATTTTAGAGTTTATGGAGTTAAGGTGGTCTAAAAATGCAGTTACTTTGTCAGATTGTGAGTGTCGTTTACGTGCCGCTTGTAGAACCTTGGGTTTACAGGAGCAGTAAGAAGGGCTTTCTCCCCAAAGTCCTCCATGAATATGTCAGCGACTATGGGAGACACAGATGAGCCCATCACAAGCCCATCTACTTGCTTGTAGAACTCCTCCTTCCACAATAGATAGCTAGATGTGAGGCAGTGTTCAAGTAGTATTGCATATTCTTGAGGCATGTTATTTTCTTCTAGCTTCCTAGTTACAATTGAGATGCAGTCAACAAGAGGTAGGCATGTAAATAGTGACTGAACATCAAAACTGGCCATAGTTTCATTGTCAGCGAGGTGTAGGTCTTTTATCTCACTCACAAAATGCTATGAATCCTTTGTGTGTGCTCAGGTATGTCCTCTCAGTGATGAGCAATTGTGCCAGCTTATAAGTTGGTAAATCAATCTGGCTCGCTATGGGACGTAGTGGAGGGTTTGGTTTGTGTATATTCGGTAACCCATAAAACCTTGGTGATTTGGTACATGATGGTATTAGTGAAATCACGTCGAGCTTTAATTTTTCGAAGTACTTTTTTTTATTAAATCGCTAGTTTTAAGCGTGTTAGTTGTGGGGTCTGTTTTGACCTTTTTATATGTACTTTCGTCCGATAAAGGGTATATTAAAATTATATTCCGACGTGTCCATTATTACCGTAGCATTTCCTTTATCCGCGGGGATAATCGTGAACTCTGGTCTGTTCCGTAAGTTATTTTAAATTATAACGGTAAACAAAAATATATTATTTCTTTCATTGCTAGCTGTTGCCTGTTGTGCCTGTTATTTAATTTTTTGGCTGTTGTAATATATTAGTGTTTAGTGTTTAGTTAGCTGTCTAGCTGAGATGACAATGACACTGTTATCTGTTAAATTATATACGTAATGTTTTGATAGCAGGTCCGCATATTACGTTAAAAAGCTATTGTTGTTTTTGTTTATTTTTCGTTAAGTTTTATTCCTCAAGTAATTTTAAATATTTAGTGTAATATAGATAGGATTTAGCGTGTTGTATGTAAAAGTGTATAATAATGTCGCGTCAGCGTAGTGCAGCCATTTGGAACTATTTTAAGTCTAAGTCCAAAGTGTGGACGAAAAACAAGCAGTGTGCAATTAAAAAAACTTTATCTTCCAAAAGTACAATTACAAATTTAAAGCTTCACCTTAAGCAAAGACACGTAGGAGTGTATGAAGAGTTTTGCCATTCGGATTTAATATCGGATAGACTCACAAGGCTTACGTCGTCAAAAGTAAACCAAATAATGTTTTAGAATAGTAACTAAAAAAAATGTAAATAATTGTAGATAACTAAAACTTTGACCACAGTGTAAATAATATAAAAATTCAATCAAAATGTACATAACATCAATAAGCTTCTAATTACGCCTGAATGAATTATTTTTCTTAAAATGTTTGAAAATATGAGTAAATAATTATAACAGATACAATAGTTTCACGTTTTAAAAGAGAATCTTTTAAAACATGAAACACTCAAATGATGCTAATAAAATTTAAAAATATTTTTTTTTTGTCTTCATATAATACTTATAATCGTTTAATATTTATAATCGTAATAATCTTTCATCATAATATCTATAATCGTTATAACAACATACAAAAAAATGCTAACACAGCCAACAACTGAACTGAACTAACCGAGTGTACAATGTAATATTTGAAACTGTTATAATATAACAGTTTAAAACAACAGTTAGAAAAATATATTACAACAACATAACGAATTAGAAAAATATAACAGTTTCGCCCACCTTTAATACCAGGCCTGTGTACTAGCTTGCTACATATTTATTTATCTATGCTGTGTACCGGGCTATAAACTCCAAAAAAAAAAATTCACAAAGTGACCATCTGTTAGGTTAGGCAGCTTCATTTTAATTAAAAATACGATTTTAGGTTAAAAGTATAAGGTATAAATAAATATCGTGGTTATTATTCTGAAGTTTTCAAGGGTTTTTATTAAACAGAAAAAAATATAAAATGTCTCGCGGTGTTATAAGTGTTGGCGACTATATTGTTATTCAGAAACAAAATTATAAGAAACTTCATAAATATAACAAGGCAAATTCATGTGTAAATATTGGACGTGATAGTGTTTATTTAAGCGGTTTAGAGGGTTGTGAATATTTTTCTGTTTTTAGGATGATACCAAAAAATAAAAGAAATAGAGAATATGATTTGGAGATAGCTGAGGAAACTGTTGACCTGAAAAGTGAAATTGATGTTAAAATTTCAGGAACTGATAATAGAAATATTTTTGACGATGGTCTATCTCAAAAGCTAACAGCTGCAGAAATAGTTGATCTTAAAAGTGATGCAAATAAGGCTTCATATATTGTAGAAACTCTTATAAGTAATTCAAACACATTTCATAATAAAACAGAATTCTCACAGGACAAGTATTTAAGGAAGAAAGAAAAAAAATATTTTGAATATATACAAATACTTCGACCTAACTTGAGAATGATCAGTGAAATATTGTACAAGCTAGACCCCAGCAAAATTCAAGGTTTGAGGACTGACACATTATCTCAAATTATGACTTTGTGCAATATTAATTCTGAAGGTATTCATTTATTGTATGACTCTGGTTCGAATGGCTTGTTAGCTGCAGCATTATTAAGTGCCATTGGAGAGCTCAGTGGAGGTAAATTGATTCATATGCATCCTGGTAATATGTCACAAAAGTTGGCACTAATGGCTATGAACTTTGGTGCTGAACAATTAGATAGATGTATTTCAGTTAATGTATATTCTGCTTTACGACAGTACTACCAGGGATGTGATACTAATTCGAATGGAAATTTGTCTGTATTAGAGAATAGTAAAGAAAATGAATTAAAAAGAAAAGCAGATGATATTATTGGTCATAAAAACAAAATTGCCAAAATAGAGACTTTGGCTGATGGTGAAAATAATATTGTCAGTCCAACAGATTCCCATAAAATTGACCAAAGTGAACCAAAAAAACCAAAATGGCACTATTTAAATATAAATGCATCTCAACTTCTATCTGAAAAAGTTGATTCTTTAGTTATTGCTAGCAAAGAAGATCCTCAAAACATTTTTAATGAATTATCAGCTTTTGTCAAGCCTGGAAGACCTTTTGTTGTGTATTATAATGTCGCAGAGCCCTTGCAGCAGTTGTACATGACTTTAAAATCCCAGAATAATATTGCTGCCTTGAGATTAACTTGGAATTGGATGAGGAATTATCAGGTATTTAGTAAAGTATAAAATTAAAAATATGGCCTCTAATATAACTTTACTTTCCCTAAAAATGTGAAAATTTATTATACTAAAATCTAATGATTAGATGGAAAATTAAATGGTGTTTTTTTTTTTTTTTTTTTTTTTTTTTTTTTTTTTCCTGCACTGTCTTACCATCTCTGCTACCACTAAAGCCAAAACTGCATCAGCCACTATGAGAAGTTCAAAGTTGCCTCAACAATAAAGTTTTAAAAATGTTTGCTTATTTAGCAATTAGACATTGCAGTATCTATTTCGCAAGATGACTCATTAAGAGATGAAATAATGTGTGTGTGTGTATTTTAGTGTAGTGTTAACAGCTAGTTGTATTTGATTTAGTTGTAATAGTGATAGTGTATGGTGCAGGCAATTGTGGAGGAAAGTAGGAAGTATGCTTGTTCTTGAAATATTTTTGATATTTTAGACATGCAGGTTCCCCCTCAATGAATTTCTTTACTGTAAAGCTTGTGGTAAATCAACACTTTTATTAAATTATACTACTACTAATTACACCTATTAGTATTTATAAACTGATAAATTAGTGGTGCATTCTGTTTTTGACACAAAAATTAGCTGTAGGGATTTTACATTCATAGCTAATAGTTCAGATGGAAACATTGGTTGGTTTTTATACACACAATATTACACATGCATGTGTATTTACAAAGGGCAGTTATTACAGTCAGTTGAAAAAATAAACAAGCAGTAGCATTATTAAAATTTGTAATTGGTAAAATATTGTGACAATTAGGCATGGAAAATAGTAAAAAAAAATAACTTAATAAAAAGTAATAGCTGATTTCAAAGAGCTAAAAAGAATGAAGGCATTCTGTCTTTGTCCTCACGGGTGAGGTCAAAGACATCTGTATTTTGTCATCTGTATTTTGATTCATAAACAAGGATAGATGTAGATGTCTATGAGCCACAGTAACCACTTACCATCAAGTGGACTGTATGAACTCGCTTGTCACATTTACTTTCATAATAATTTGCAGTTCTCAAAAGCGAGCTTTGCGAAATTAGCCTACCATTTAAAACATCGAAGAAAATTAATGCGACATGTGGATTAAATTCAACTGCACCTTATTTCTGAGTGCGAGTGTCTGTATCACTTAGCTCACCACACGCCTTTATTAAGGTCGTTTCTACTGTAGGGTTAGGTGTTGTGAGAAAACAAATTGAATCCTTTGATATTAGTTGGTAGTAGAATACACTGAGGTGTTACACAATGTATGCAATTTACTGGTAATTTGCTGTTAATAAAAACATTAGTGTTCAATGTTAGGAAGCTTAACATGGAACATCTAGAAAATTAAGATTATAACAACATTTTCTGCTTCACTTTTTGTTTTGCTTTTTACAAACATGCGACATGCAACAGTATTATTAATGAAAGAGTAGCAATGGGAAGTGCTACTATTATCAATCTTTCTTTTATCAACCAAGTATTTAACAAATCACCAATATACGCTGATCTTGCATTAGTATGCAGTAACTAGTACTCGGAGGTCTACTTACACTGAACTGTTATTTAAGATCATTGATATTATATGCAAATAAATTGAAAACTGTGAAGCTGTGGTCGGGTCGCTAGTCAAAAATATATATAATAAATTCGTAACTATGGAGCGAGTAACTAGGTACCTAATTATCTGGATATATACCTATAAATAATAATATCTTAGAGTTGAGTGAGATAGGCCTGGTTACGGTAATTCTCTGTAACTTCTTTAGTTGACTATGAGCGGGCGAGAAGTATTCGTTTGTATCGCCAATTCAATACTGCTCGGTTGTTGTCCTTACTGGCCTTATATAGGGTCTCTTCTACTGAAACATCTAGAATGATCGGGTATATACCGGTCCCAACTGACTTAAGTGTAGAAAGTTCTAGTATGGAATTTTCTAGAAAGCTCTTCTAGTTCTGCTACTCTTCTAATTATTGTGATCCAGCTTACTTGTTTTCCATCTGGGGGCACGGTAGTGCCCCCGCCAAGTCGAGCAAAAAAGCGGCACGGCCGTACCATCTTTTCTCGAAGCAATTCAGGCCATTTTCGACCCCCTATAACTTTGTAGTCAATAAATCTAGAAGCCTGAATTTTCAGTAACCGAGTAAGCATTGTATAAACATGGTATATTTCAAATTTCATTCAATTTGAACCAGTAGTTTAAGAATTGTAACACGTCAGTTTCTTAATTTTGTCACTCACTGACTGACTGATCATCAAAACTCTAAGGCACTTCTAGCAGACATAGAAGCTTCAAATTTAGAATACAATTAGTATGTAGTGTATAAATCAAGGAAAAACTAAAATATTTTTCAATTTCGGTCCAGTTTTCTAGATACACTAACTGCATTAATAACTTTGTAATCCCATTTAAATATATAGAATTACAAAGTTAAATTTGCAGTGTATGAATCAGTGTACTTGTATAATTGTATTACAGGTGTACATAGGTACGTTTTTTGGTACGCAAGAAGTAGAAGGTACCGGAAAGGTAAAAAATTAGGACTATCTTATATACAAAAAGAAATGAGATGCCATTAAAAACATAACTTGTAAAAAAACCAAGTCTCGCAACTCAGTTCTTCTATTGTAAAAAGTTGTGAGATGCATGTAATACCAAGTCGGTTAATTTATTCAGTTCCTACTTAAGACTCCTTATGTTTTAAGTTATTACGTAATTAGCTAACCTAACAACATTTTATAGTGACCATATCAATTTTAAAAGTCTTTTATATTTTAAATATATAGATTGACTTGGCAATCGCACTAAGCAATCTAATTTAATATAATATGTATTTCTTGTGAGATATATTGTGGTTTCATATATATATATGTAGAGTAGAGTGGAAGACAGCACAAGATTAAATAAAACATACCAGATTATAAAGTCATTTATTGCATAAAAAACCAACAAACTCAAGTTATTTTGTGTTATCGATATATCAACTCTTGGAAAAACTATTTCTTTCTTAGGTATTTTTGTTTATTTTTCGCTTTGGCGTACACAGGACATGGTAATACGTTTTTGACGTGGCGCTCAAAAGGTTAATACTAGCGTTCCGCCCTGGCTTCGCATGGGTGATTTCTAGATCTAGACAACAGCTTCACCTTCCAGGTCCAAATGTGAATCTAAGCCATCCAGAAACCCACTTGAACAAACATAAAAATTTTCATCTGAATTGGTAAAGCCAGTTTCGAGTTTTAACAAGACTAATGGATAGCAATCGATTTTATATATAGATGAGATTTCATACAAACTGTAATTCCAAGTTGATATCTGGAACACCATACACGCCACAGCACAAATGACAGCCTCTGTGTTAATGTTCTTGTAAGGATTGCTCAGACTAAGCAGGGCAATCCTCTAGGGTATACTGAGCCATGTTCTCATCACTCAACAATGGTGGCACGTGATTGTCAGCTCTCTTTCAGCTATAAAAATATAACTGCCAATATTATAATGCTTCTAGAAAGCCACAACCCATGTTACATGCCCCAGTATTTAACATTATACTATTCAGAGGGACCTTAGATTGATATCAGGAGATGGGATCAAGGTTCTGAAAGAAAAAGATGCACTGAGCTGCAATACAACCACTTCTTAGGTTGATAGACAGTTCCAACTTGGCTGAGCAGTGAGAGAATACACCTCACCACATATTCCTCAAAACTTAATATTAAGAGTGCAACGCTTAAGGACGCCTTGGCCCATGGCCACTGGAGGTGGAAGCCGTGCGGCAGGATCATCGTTCCCATCGTGTCAGGGAGGTTGCAGCAGCTACAGTTCGCGACCGCGACAAAGGATACAGCCCTAGGTGCTATGGCTGTGGGGAAAAAGGCCATCTTCGATCCAGCTGCCCTAAGCGAACCGTGGGAAGGAGAGTTGATTGATCTCGAGAGGGTAGTGCAGCTAACGGCACTGCCTGGCGGCGACAGGATCATCGTTCACCTCACGCTAGGGAGGTTACAGCAGTTACGGTTCGCGACCACAATAAAGGATACAGCCCTAGGTGCTATGGCTGTGGGGAAAGGGGCCATCTTCGGTCCAGCTGCCCTAAGCACACCCTAGGAAGGGAAGGTGAACGGTCTCAGAAGGGAAGTGCGGCTAACATCACCGCCCAGCAGCAGCCGGGATACGACTTTACTATCAGATATCGCAGCGGGAAATCTCATGGCAACGCAGATACATTGTCAAGAAGACCTTGTCCTGAAGATTGGAAACATTGTACTAGGAAAAAACGTAAGGAAGTGGTATCCGTGCGGATGCTCACGACAGACCACCTCAGCAACGAGTGGAAGGACAGCCTACGACATGCACAGCAAAAAGATCCGGATATCAAGCCGATTCTGGAATGGATGAAGGCCCGTGCTACCAAGCCTAAGTTGTTAACCAGTGATGACACATGGATCTGAGATGGACCTTCACTGCTGACTGTACACATGGATCTGAGATGGACCTTCACTGCTGACTGTACACATGGATCTGAGATGGACCTTCACTGCTGACTGTATAAGGAAGCTCAGTGAGCTATGGAGAAAACTATGCTCGGATATCTTTATTACGAATACTATCCACAAGACTAGTGTCATAGCACAAGGGAAGGTGTTCCTGAGTGGCAGCCACATATTGGTAAGATATGTAGGAAGTCGATGGATGCTCTGGCCTGTTTTGTGGCATTCTTTTGGAGATCTATGTACAGCAATAGACTTGTGCAATGGCTATAATTATAATGATGATACAAAAAAAATGCTTATCTTATCAATAGATCAAGATTTCTTTAGGAAACTAAAAACATTCAAAGTAAAAATGGCAGGTGCCAGTTTTTTCTTTTGCTAAAATTTTATTTTACTAATTTAATTGTATTTTATTATATTTGATGATTTTTAAGAAACATTTGATATTATAATTAACAAAAATAAATCTATTTCAGATTCTGCCAGAAAGAACACACCCAGAAGTAATGATGAACGGTTCAGGAGGCTTTCTGTTAAGTGGTTATATACTTAAATAATATAGTGAGTTTTTATGAAAAAATAATAAAAAACATTTTTATACAAAGTTTTTAATGCTCTCATTTGCTCAAATGCACATAATATCATATCAAACTAAATGCACCATACAAATAAATGTGGTTGAAACGAAAATACTTTATAAACTTGTAGTAAACAATAAAATTAGGAAGCGGAGTTCAAAAAAATCAACAATATTTTGGTGGCAAATAAGTTTTTTAGATAATGCTGTGCAATACACCATTATGCAGTACTCAAATAAATTTCCGATAAAATGTGTTAATTTCTTGTTATTTAAGTGCAGATTTCTGGACATTCCACATCACATTATAAAATTCATTTATGTGCATAAATATATGTGTACAATATCCTGTATATTTATTGAAAATTTTGTCATAATGGCATTCACAGAATCTGTTAAATATGTGTGAATTCGCGTCGCGAACCAAACATAAAATAGATAAAAGCATGTATATTTAACTAACTTGCTTTTTTATCTTTAAACTTTATCACTACATGTTCAAAACTTTCGATTTTTAATACTTTCAACTGGCAAAATAAGATCAATACATTATTATAATACCTATGAAATGTATGTAGGAATGTGGGTCCGAACCTGGTCGGCTCGAACAGTGATTTGATGGTGACAAGTGAATATTCGAGAATAATAATACAATAATCATCTCAATTCATTTGGCACACTGAAAATTGGGTGCTTATAAAGATGTTCAAAACTAGATTTTTAATTCTTTAAAATAAAAAAATCTGGCATAACAAGATCAATACAATATTCAAATGTATGTAGGAATGTCGGTCTGCATAAATTCATAATTTTTAATACTAACTGAACATGTGATTTGATGATGATCATATTCAGATAGTACTTTATTAATTCAAGCTAATATTTATTAAGAAATCAGATGCATTATTATCAAACCTACTATCAAATCTAACATCAACTAATAAACAAAAATCAACAAAATTTCTTTACAGTTACAAATTTCCATCAAATTTTATTGTTTAATTACCACTGTCATCATTGTATTAAAGGTTCAAACTAAGTTATTTTTTATTAAATTGAAACTCAATAATTATCATTACAATCAGAGAAGAGGACATTTATTGCTCGTTGGTAACAATTGTCTGTTATAAATTAAAAATCCCTTCTAAATTAGTATTTTTGAATTTATACAGACTCGGCTCAATCAGGCAGTGGAAACTATCTTCCACTTATATATTTTTGCTATTGGGGAATGTTGCAAATAATTACAATATTAATTCAAGCTAGCATAAATTCTGCCGTAAACCTATTCAAGCATGTGCTGTTGATTTAATACAGAATAATTAAATAAAATATTATATTACTCATTTGTTACAGCAACTTAACATAAAAATAAAATATTTTTATAAATACCATATAATTTCTTTTTAATCCTATCTCTATTTAGTACTGAAGTATAATAAGCAAAATACTATCATATTCCAGAAGGCATAGATAAATGTTTTAAACAATTAGCACTTGATATGTGTTCTATAAATTCTGGAATATATTTGCTAAAATTTTTTGTAATGACCAAAATATATATTTCATTTCATTTGCGATTAAAAAAACGCAAGTATTTGATTTTGTTCCGAAATAAAATTTTGAAGCAGCAGCTATTCTTTTTTAGTATAAATCGACATTAAATTATATTAAAATATTATTTTTATGTTTTTTGTATAAATATTTATGCACTAAAATTAACTTGAAATCTTAATATTTTCTTATATTGACGGTTTTAGCAATAGTATTTTTTTTTCAATTTTGGTTTTTTTGTTAATTTTATAAATTATATAATACCATATTTACAAAATATTTTTGCATACAACTGAAACAAGTATATTTGTTGTTTTACAACTGGGCAAAATAGTCTATTAAAATAATACTTAAAATAGTCACATATATTAACTATAATAATTCTTCATTTCTACTTCCCCTTTTAATAGAGGAAATTGTGAATTATTATTTTTATCATGCGACTATCGAAGAAATGGATATAAAACCGAATTTAATTAAAAAAAGAATCAAGGATACTGCAAACCACTCGAATTTTGATAAACAAGAACTAAGTGAAAACATTATATAATATGCAGTATCTTTGTTAAAATTTTAATATTACATTAGGGAATAACTTTGGTATTGGTGTTGATACATCAAAAGGCATACAAAGCTGTGGTCAAGGCAACAACGCTGTGACTGTAGCAAATGTTTATAAAAGAGACCACTAGTGTCTAGTGCGAGCTGTCACGCGGGCTCGGACACAGTTCCTATTACAGTACTACTGCTCAGCTATGAAGAGTCTTCGTCGTACCACGTGCGGAAGTCACAACTCTCATCATAGTCATCCTGGAACAATGTACCTCATAAGATATTTTGTTCAAATGTTATATATGAAATTTGAGAACCTTAAACAAAACTATTAGCATACACACGGCTTTTATACGTAGCAGAGCCACGCTGCAGCTATATTATGGTTGTGGCACAAATGAGTAGGCTCGACCGGGGAAGGACCGCGCTCTCACACTATATAAATATTGACTTGTGCACAAAAATGAAAATAAAAACCCTATTCAATGCCAGCAATTTCTTCACATCTCTTTAGCAAAATTGTTTATTTGAAATTAGGAATTTTGAATAAACAAAAAGAGAGACTATTTATAATTTTCTCTTGTAAGTAATATTTTTTTAATAATAAAATATTTTTTTACATAATAATTCTAAAAAATTAAAAATTTTGTACAACCGACTTCAATACGACCAACTCAATGTATTCGGAAGTCAATTAAATACGTATTATTAAAAATAACAAAACTTCTGGTCAGATCTTGATTAAATTTATATTGGACCACAGAGAAAGCACCAGCTTTCAGATAAAATAAGAATCATCAAAATCATTTCAGCCAGAGAAAAGTTATGAGGTAACACGCATAAAAAAACATACAGTCGAAATTGAATACCTCCTCCTTTTTAGGAGTTTTATTTATTTATAAACCTTTATTTCAAGAAACGGGCTTGTACTACAAAGATTGTACTACATAATTATAATTAAAAAAAAAAACTTCAAAGCTCACGGTGCAATAAAAATCCCCATTTTATTACACCGCGCACAGAGAATGAAAAGGTCGTCCCGGTTGCTAAAACTAGTCTTCCCCTAGATATTAGTAACCTACTCAAAGCCAAAAAAGCTGCCCTCCGTAGAGCTGCACGCTATCCCACTCCCGAGTATAGACTCCGGTCCATTGGAGAAAATCTCCCCCTCCCACACAGCGTACTACCAGATGGCGAGAGCCCTCCGGATGGACGGTATCACGTATACTCCGGGTATTGCCTTCGAGGACGAAGAAAAGGCTGAGTGCTTCGTCGACAGCGTCGCCGCTCAATGCTCTCCCAGCTAACAACCCACGGGTAAGGTTTATAATTCGGTCGCCTGAATTTGGGGGTGAGGGGTGGCGTGGGGGGAGGGGGGAGGAGTTGTAGAGTCACCCCCAACTTCCACTTTCTGCCGGACGTGCTTAGTTTTTTTTTTATTTATTTTTAAAAATCTCATTTTGAGGTTATGTTTCGTAATTTTTATGACAATTTTAACCTGATTTATGGGTAGAGAGAGTTGGAGGATGGAAGCCCCACGCCACTTAACGTGGTGCAGTCGAGGGAAGTCCGGTCGACGGAGCCCGCTTCGCGGGGCTCCTACTTCTGAGTGGTTTACAAAAAAATAACCACGAAGAGGATGACGGGGGTCTATTCGCTCGCTTCGCTCGCTCACACGACCCCGTCATCCTCTTCTAACCTAACCTGTCCGAGTCGGGGTGCTCCACGTCCCAGGCTCGCTTCGCTCGCTATTGCACTCGATATAACACCAAATTATTAACTTTCGTAACTACTTTAATTTATAAACATAATTTATGGCTGCCACCATTTGTAAGAAAAGATCTTTGCGATATTTAGCAGTATTCCGCCGCCACAAATATTTCACTATTCACCATAATTCTGAAACTCGGAAGCAACACCATGACGAAAAGCTGTCAACAAAATGGCCGGCATAGCGATTTAATTTTACATATTTTAAATCGATTCAAATCGAAATTAGATGAATCGATTCACAAAAAATCGAAATCTTAAAGATCGATTTCGCAAAAATCGTTTTTTTTTATTTGCGTTAAAAGTTTATATTTACGATATCAAAAGATACAATAAAGTACAGATAACATTGAATAATTAAATTAAAAACTGTCATTCTTTACGAGTTGGGGTACATTCAACCAATTGTAAATAATTTTGCAAATCTTAATAAAACAGAAAAAGATTCGATCTCGATTCTCTAGGGTGAAATATCGATTCACTAGATCGATTCAATACTATATATCGATATGACATTGACAGATGAAATGTCAAAAACGTAATTAAATTAGTCATTTACCAATATTTTTAAAAAATAATTAAAAATACTTCGACGCTGCTCCGGCAGAAAAAATTGAGTGGGGGTGCTTCAGATAAACCCCTTTGACTCCCCCACATTGACAGAATCTTCAAATTCAGGCGACCGAATTGTAAACCCAACCCCAACCCACTGACCCCCCTACACATCAAACTAGTGGAGGACGAGGTCCGTCGCCGGAACTCGCCTCCCACCGCCTCTGACCCTATCACTGTGTCCAAAGATGAGATTTCATCTACCATCAAAGGAGTTAAGCCCAAAAAAGCACCGGGTGCGGATGGCATCACCAACCAAGCCCTCAAACACTTTCCGGAGCAGGTGATCGCCTTATTGGCCATAATCTTCAACGCCTGCTTCGAATTCAGCTACTTTCCCACCTCTTGGAGGCAACTGTCATTGGAATTCCCAAGCCAGGCAAACCTCACCACCTCCCCCTCCAATCACCGTCCCATCAGCCTCCTCAAGGCCATGGGCAAACTTTTCGAACGAGTTATTCACGTGCGCATGAGGCGCCATTTGTTACCCAC